GTTCATTTCCATTGTGTCTCTTTGTATTTCACAATATGCTTGTATTTCATACTTATCATTGCTTTGACTTTGCTTCTCAAGTTACAAGCTATGTGTGGTCCAGTCTCTTACTGCTTAGTTCCTCTCCTCTAATTATGAAAGTTGGAATTTCCCATGTGAATTATACAGTCATAGAATGGTTTAGGCTGGAAGACAGATTAAATATGATCTCATCCCAACACCCCTGTGATGGACAGGGACACTTTCCACTAGACCAGGTTGCTCAAAGCTCCATCCAGCTTGGCCTTGAACACCTCCAGGAATGAAGCATCTCCAGCTTCTCTGAGTGACCTGTTTCAGTGCCTCACAGTGAAACAACTGACACAGTTAGAACCATAGAGACTCAAATAGAATTATCCAAAGCCATCTGAGATTCTCAAATATCTCTAGGCAAATGCTAAAGTTTACTGCTTGATTTCTTCTTTTTATTCTCTGTACTGACTGTGGCTGGTGGAATATTTCCTACTTTAGACTTCATACATTGGGGTAGATGCCCCAATAATTTACAATGTCATTAGTATGAGTTGTATGGGAGAGCCTTGAGTTCCACAGACAGTAGGCAAAAAGGGCTCATAACTGATTTACCTTTTACTTATCTCATTGAAGTACATCTTACTGAAGTACCTTCTAGTTTTTGCCCTTTTCTCCTTATCAAGCTGCCACTACGATTTTATTTGAATAATTTCTTAACACACATTTCTGAAGAACTGCAGAACATATTTCATGTCAAAGAATGTTTTTTATGTCAAACACAAACAAAATATGCCATCAAAAATGCCTGTATTAGCAGTATATTTCTCACATTCTTCCTCAGTTGGAATGGATGCTATTTTCACTTACTTATAGGTTCACCTATAAATTTTCCTGGAAAGACTGGTCTTTAAAAAGGTGTCTGCAAAATGTCTAGAAAAAAAGGAAGCAGGCAGTCATTTACAGGGACTGTAACAGTACCATATAGCACTTTGCAAAATCAATAAAAATGTGAACTGTATGTCTACAAATAATCAGATTCCAATCAAATGAACTCAGTGGATATATGGCAGATATCCATTTAACTCTGAACATCTAAATGAAACAGAAAAAACATGGGTCAATGAAATCAATCTACAACAGGTGATGTACTGGGACCCACTGATCAACCATTTAATTTCATGAATTGTGCTGTGGCACTTTTAAAGAGCACATCAAATCAGGATCCTCTTTTTTCAGACCACAAAAAAATTGCAAACACCAATCAGTATTTCTTCAATTCTGATTCAGAAGGAAGGTTACTGTCTAAACAACTAAGAATATCACATATGCCATAAATCAGCATATTTAGGAAACCCGAACCCCATGTCATTAGATTTTGCATTATTTTTGACTTTTCTACAAGCAGAAATTGACACAACAGGAAGTGTTAAATAGATTTTGACCAATCTTTTGAAAAAAAATAATAGGTATATTATTCTCTCCAATACATTAAAGCTGTGTCCCTGCAGGTAGGGATATCTTCATTTAAGATTTAGAAAATGCTACTAAAATAGCAGTCAGTCAAATGTTTTCAAGACTGTTTTAACTCAGCACTGAGAATGCAAGTGCCAGCAAATAGTGTAGTGTAGTGAAATACAGATTAGAAATCATTAGAAATCATGAGCTGTATATACACAGGTGTTTCTACCTTTTTAGGGAGAAGTTAACAGGTTTCAGCTCTTAAATTCTGCAAAATCTTATGTAAAACTCATTTCCTTTAAAGCTGTCTACTTATTAAGTAATCTTGCTCTTTGGTCAATTATTTTGAGCTTTTGCAATAAAAGACAAAATAATGTAATAATGAAGATAAGCATTTATTTTAGATGTTGGAGAAATTAAATTTCTGTGCTAGCATTTTTCATTTTTACCTTCATTTAAAAATGTGCACTGCCTTACACTGCAAAAGACTAGTAGGTAGCCTTTGTGCTGTAAATGATCCATAAAACATTCCATCATGATTTTAACACAATTACTAAATAATGAATATTTCAACTTTACTACAATGGATATTCATGTATTTAATTATTATATAAGTAAAAACATATTTATAAATAGAGAACAGAATTTGTTGGGTATGACATCTCTTTTCTACTGCATAAAATAACTTTTCTTCATCAAAAGCTCTGAAAATGTGTTTTAAAAATCACATAAATTGTCATTTCTGTTTACATTGTTGGACCTCTGCTACTCCTATTTTAGAGACCAAAGGAAAACTTCCTAAACTGAGTATCAGTTGGATTAGCCTGTTCATGTCAGTGAGTTTGTCATCTGATATTTAGAGTGCTATCTATGGAATTCATCCTTTCTCAGTACCAAAAATGACAGCAGGTATGGGAAATACCCTCCCAATATTTTGCAGCAATTTATCATGAAATTAGTAGAAATCTCACTATAACATACATTATCAACCATTTCCAATAATGAAATGTAGTTTCTATAGTCAAATATTTTACTGTCAGCATAGTACTATAATTCTTTCTCAGTCTCTGAATTACTCCAATTTATCTGAGTTTCAGAACTGCTCATCCATCTCAACATAAATCAGGTAAATTCCAAGTATTTGCTTATACTTGAAACTCAGCCCACCAAAAAAACCCTGCACAGTAGTTACACCATAAAATTTTCTTTGAAAATTAGGTAGTTTTTTTGTTTTCAAAATATCTGTGACTATAAAATATAAATTACAATTATGCATGGAAAATCTTCCATTGTTCATAGAATACAATAAGGGCAAAATCTGTCACCCTCTCCTAACTTCTAGGATTTGATTTCTGGCGTTTAAAATGGGAAAACTAAGACACAGTACTTTCCAGGGTCACTTTCTCCAGAGGAGCAACTTACACCAAATAAGTAAGGAATAATTTAGATTTAGAATGACAAAAGAATTTGAGATGCTTATTTCATGTACTCTTTTTTAGCTTTGGCAGAGGTCTTGAGAAAATACCTACAGCTGAATGTTAGAATGCTTCTCTCCTTATAAAGAACTAAGAATGTACTTTAACAAAGCTAGCTTAGTTTGCAGGATGATGACATTATAGAAAGAAAAAAATTAATATCCAGGCTTATTTAAGTGCTGAAAAATGCAAAAGTAAGCTTCTCTATCAGCAATATGTAATATTCATTCTTGACTACTAATTCTGTTGTCTTATCATAGTACTCCTCATATTCAAATGTGAAATACTGGTTCCTGAAAGGCAATATTTCTAGCAAAGAGAAGTTCATTCAGGTAGGCTTTAATTTCCAAAATTATATACTACTAAATGTATAGTATTTATATGCTAAAATAAGATAATCAATACAGTCTTAGGAATCAAATATCCATCTTAAAAATCCATCATTTAGGAAAACAGTCATATTTTATCACTGTGAAAAAAATCTCCAGTATTCCCATATTTTATAAAAACCATGATGAATTGTAACTATTAGTAGCTACAGAATATTACCTAATAGAGTCAAATTTAAAGAAAAAACTTTTATACTTACCATTGCCATGAGCCAATATTCATTTTCCTCAGATGCTTGCTGTTATGGACTGTCTGTGAACAGTTTGCTTTTCTAAGCACATGAAGCATGGGTTGGTTGTCTTGCTAAGGCTTAATAAGATAAAAAGTTAATTTTTTTTTTCTTTAGACTTACCGCCTTCTGTACTATCAAATTCAGCCAGCAATGATATGCCGTATATACATATTCTTCAAATCACTGAAGCAATAAAGGACTACCAGTTATTCAACTCTTCACAGCTAAAGCAGATAATAAAAATAACAACTAAATTACCCAGCGGATACAAAATGTCAGCTTTGTCTGAAAAGTCTTACTGAATTAGATTACCTAATTAAAATTAAAGATAAAAGAGGGAGCAATGTTCACAGTCTTATTCCACTTCTTTTTCTATTTCTGTCTGCTAAGCTCAGAATCTGATTAGTATATTTAATTCCATGAGGCATCATGATTGGTCTACCTTTAATCAGCCTGTTGACACCCACCCATTTTTCCCTCACATGTTCCAGACTTCAACGTAATCATTTACTGACTTGCCAACACTCCTATAGAAAATATAATGTTCAAATTATAGAATCAACACTGGAATGATTCTACTTTTCACATATTTACATATATCCAGAATGAAAAGTGAGTTAAAAGAAGTATGTTTATTGAGACAAATGCAAAGTAAAAATATCATAACCAGCGTTATACTTTCATAAAATGTCATTATATTGCATGAAATTACAGTTTCAGTAGAAGTATCTATTTTGGTCTGTTCTCTAATTATTAATTATTAATAATTAATTATTAATTATTAATACATAATATAATTATATTTTTCTGCTTTATTAAGCTACTATTTCTATTATCTGTAAGTCATTATAAAAATAGATAAAATATGTAATATTTTCAAATTATGTACTGAATAGAAGGTAATTCTCTTTAGTGCACAGGCAAACTGGAATAAAAAGGCATCTCCAGTGTCCTGGGTTGATTATAATGTTAAATTGTATCCCCATTCGTCCACACAGATTTTTTATTCTTAAAATTTCATCTAAGTGTAAAAGTGAATGGAAAAGAAGCACCGAGTCTGTTATCAGAGACTGTACTTGCTCCCCCTGCATCAGGAGTTTTGACTACAGCACAGACAGACAACAAGACACAGATCGCCTTGGCTTTCCAACTAGCCGGAGCAGAGAGGTCTTCCTGGACTGTTTTCTTTCCCTTTTTCTGAAACGAATCGAACCTGCTCTGGACTGGGGACTCGGGGGAGCACCGGGAGCTTGCACCCGTGGACTACCGGGAGCCCAGCCTGGGCAGCGGCATTTTCCAGCGCCAGAGGGACTGATAACAGAGCGAACACCCACAGGAAAGAGACCCTCTGAAGTTTGTCATCTCTTCTGAAGGG